GGGTTTGATTCCTGGTCAGGGCACATGCCTGGGTTGCAGGCCCAATCCCCAGGGTGAGGCATGCAGAAGGCAGCTGACCAATGATTCTCTCTCATCATTGATGTTTCTCTCTCTCTCTCCCTCTCCCTTCCTCTCTGATATCAATAAAAATATTTTTTTAAAGGATGACACCTTCCCTGGTAGTGAAATATCAGAATGGAATTCTAAAAACATTAACTGGCTGAGGTATGTTTGAATGAAGTCAGGGCACATGCCTGGGTTGTGGGCTCGATCCCCAGTGTGGGGTGTGCAGGAGGCAGTTGATCAATGATTCTCTCTCATCATTAATGTTTCTATCTCTCTCTCCTCCCTCTCCCTTCCTCTCTGATATCAATAAAAATATTTTTTTAAAGGATTACACCTTCCCTGGTAGTGAAATATCAGAATGGAATTCTAAAAACATTAACTGGCTGAGGTATGTTTGAATGAAGCAGGAAAAAGTGGCCAGACTCCCATAGATCTTATAGTCTTGCCACATGAAATATTAATAAGTGGCTGGTGGGGCTCAATTGGTTGGGCGTCATTTCATGCACCAAAAGGTTGCTGGTTTGATTCCCGGTCAGGGCATATGCCTGGGTTTTGGACTTGATCCCTGATAGGACTATATAATAAAAGGCTAATATGCAAATCAGCCAAACGGTGAAACTATGGGTCACTATGACACGCACTGACCACCAGGGGACAGACGCTCAATGCAGGAGCTGCACCCTGGTGGTCAGTGCACTCCCACAGGGGGAGTGCTGCTCAGCCAAAAGCCCTGAGCCAGGCTCACGGCTGGCGAGCACAGGCGGTGGCAGGAGCCTCTCCTGCCTCTGCAGCAGTCGGACATCCCCCGAGGGCTCCTGGACTGTGAGAGGGCACAGGTTGGGCTGAGGAACGACCACCCCCCCCCCGACTGCACAAATTTTGTGCACTGGGCCTCTAGTGTATATATATGCCTGTGAGACTTCTAGTCCAGAATATCAACATGGTAGCACCTGAGTGTTGGGTGGCAGGAATGGACCTGGTGTTGGCTGGTGGGGTGGGACCAGACCTGGGTTCAGCAGCCTCGGTACCTGAGTTCTGGCTGGGAAAGAATTCAGAGCTAAGACGCAAACTACTAGAGGACATTTATGTGGAAAATCACAGAAGTAGAAGAAGTAATTAATAGAAGAAATGGGCTCAGGAAACTAGTTATAAGGGTGAAGGGCCCTTGGAGCTTGGGAGTGAGGAAGGTAATATAACGCCCCTGGCGGGATAGGGGGGCAGGGGGGTGCTCTCAGGAGGAAGAACCCACTGGGTCCTAAGGGTTTTAAAGGTGGAGATTGAGAGTTAAGATCTCAATAGATTACTCAGCGGCTCTCCAGGTGTGTCCTCTCAGAGTTGGGGTATCCACTGACTGATTGGTCGGCCCAGGGCAGGGTCATTACCCAATGCCGCTGGCCCTGAAGCAGCCGTGGCCTTGGCGGAGGTGTTGCTTGTCTGGTTTTGCTGCTTTTCTGGGCCTGGAGCTGAAATGCAACTGAGGCCTGGGTGTTATCTCTAGGGAGGAAAGGCCAGGGGGTCCAATCCGCATGACCAGCGATGTGCTAGGGGAGGACAGGTCACCTGGGGGTGAGGTCCCACTCACAACTGTCCATTGCTAGGCACCCAGGACTTTCCACCCTGGCCCATTGTCCTTGCTCTGCTCATGTCTGTCTGCCTGCCTTCCACAGCACCCCATATCCTCAGAACACCCCATCCTCAGCATGACCGGCCCAGCAGCTGCCCCAGGGCAGTGATGCAATGCAATGGCTGATGATGCAGGTCCTTAAGCTGCATCCATGGACCACATGCCCTGACCCTGCTCGAGGGGCTGGTCAAACGCAAGCAGTTCCTAACTTAGCCGTCAAGGTCCAAAGCCTCTTCCAGGATCCAGGTCCCCTGGACTTTGGGTTCAACCATGTGACTTGCTTGAACCGCAGGTGGAAGGCTGTTGTGCGTCTATCAACCTGGGAACGTGCCCAACCACTCCTGGTGGCCCCAGGGGGCCTGGGTAGAGCTGGGGGGCTGGTCTCTAGCCCTGGGTTCTCCCAGCATCACTCCTGCCACGTTCTGTTAGTGGAATCATCACCCCGCTCTCCCTGGGAGCCGTGTCA